CCCGCCCCGCCGCGGAACCGCTCTCAGCGCCCTCTCCTTTGGCCATGACCCGCGGGCCACGCCGTCTGGAACCGGGACGCCGAGATGCTGCTGTGTTCTGCCGGCCCGCGCTCGCCTGGGGCTCCCCGTCCTAGGCGCAGCCGCAGCTACCAGCACGTTTGCCAGCACTGAGCAAACCAGGAACGCCGGCAAGGAAAACTCCCTTGTATGCCCCCTCCGCGCCTCTTAAAGGTTCGGTCCTGAGCTTCCAGCCAATCCCCGCACGCGCCTGCCCTATTCGTCTGGCGGAGCCTCACTGCTGAGCCACGTTCTCAAAGCCGGCATCCAGCAACGCGTGCTCCTTGCTACCTAAGCAAGGCTGAAAAGCCCACCTGACTCGCCCGAGGAAACTGAAGCTCAAGGCTGAAAGTGACCTGTCCGAGGTCCTCCAGAGTGAGTTCTCCCTGAGTCGAGCCTGCTAGCCCATGAACCCCGATCTGCCCCCTTTAAAATCTGGAGTCAGGTGGTTTATCCCCTCCCCCAAATCTGAGGTCATAGGCTGCAACTTTCACTATCAATGTCCCTCTCTCAAGATTGGCAGTTTCTTGTTTTTGCCTTTGATATTTAGGGAACCATTTTCAATGGGACAGAAAAATTAGCCAGCTCAGTGGCTGCCCCTTCTAACAGGGAAGCTCTCAAGTTATACGAAGGAGTTATGGCCACAGTAGCCTTTTATGGATAGCTTCTAACAGGTTTGACATTGGGTGCTCACGAACTCCATCTGAGGGCGGTACTATTATTATCCCCATTTTACAGCCGAGGAAAAGACACAGAAGAGAAGCTGTTATGACAGAGTATACAGGCCAGGAAGGTTTCGTCCAGTTCCTAAGTCTTTGCTCATGATTCTCTTGCTCAGCCACTCAGCATAAATTACAGAAGGCTGCACTGGGTATAAGTGCTCCCAGACAGGAAGCCCTGGGAGATACAAGACTCCAACAGCCCTCGGTGTCAAAAAGAAAAAAAAAAAAAAAGGAAAGCTTTGAGAAAGAGAATACAGAGGAATGTGGTCTTTGAAAGACGGGAGGACCTTCATCTAAACAGGCCAGGCATAGCTGCCAGCAAAGAACAGCCTTTTTTTCCACCTCTGCTAACACCACCCCAGGCTTCCCAGATCCCCAGCAGCCTGGGTGAAGTCCAGCTTCTCCCTCATCAGTGAAGTTACTGCTGAGATTCTCAGAGGCCACTCACACAGGACCTGTGTTTCTCCATGCTGGGCTTCCTTTTAATTTTTCCCCCTTTTAATTCAAATTGCAGGGAAGAGATATTGAGATCTGATTCCCCCACCATTACCATAGCACCCTCCCTGGTTCATCCTGGCAGATCCCATCTGGGCACACCTCTGTACAGAAACAAGCTAGTCTGTCTGGTGTTGGTGGCACATGCCTTTAATCCCAGCACTCTGGAGGCAGAAGCAGGTAGATCTCTGAGTTCCAGACCAGCCTGGTCTACAAGAGCTAGTTCCAGGACAGCCCCCAAAGCCACAGAGAATCCCTGTCTTGAAAAACCCCAAAAAAAAAAAAAAAAGAAAAAAGAAAGAAAGAAAAAAAGAAAGAAAGAAAGAAGCCAGTCAAACAGTGGAGACCATCAGAAGGCAAGGACAGGGCTCTGTGTCCCCACTGTAAGTTGTGTGTCACTACCCTGTCTCATAAGAAGACATGGTCAGGCTCTGTGTCTACACTGTGAGCTGTGTGACACAACCCTGTCCCATAAGAAGGCACAGATGGGGCTCCATGCCCCACTGCGAGCCATGTGACACTACCCTGTCTCTTCCCTGCTGTTGTCTTGATTTGACTAAGGAGTCCTCTCTGGTCCCTTCCAGCCCTAAATTCTTTACTCCCTTGAATCACAGCATTCCATAAATGATCTGAATCACCAGGCCAGACCATGCCCTCCTTGAAAATAAAAACTCTATATCTCTTTTACTTCCACCTCCCACGAACACAGTGAGTGTATGTTGGAACACCAGAGCAGCCCATTCAGAAAAGTCACAGGCACCTTCATGTCCCAGCTACACAGCTGGTTCTGGACATTCTGTTAGCCTCCTTGTATACAAAGTAGGAACATACCTACTAGGGTTGCTTGGGGGGCATGACAAGAAATTATACAGGAAGCATTTAGCACAAGAACTTGGGAGCTGAGGCTGGGCTGGTCCCCTCCTGGCCTGATTCCAGTCTGTCAGTGTAGCAATGCAAGATTCCAGATATGGCCTGACCAAGCCAGCACAATAGGCCTATTATTTCCCCCAGTCTGGACACGACACATTGTTAATACAGCCTAAGACTGCTAGGCTTCAGAGCCTTTCTCTCCCATGATCAGTTCCCATCAGGTTATGGTTAACTAAATCATTCAGATCCTTCTCACCAGAGCTTGGGGTCAAGTCAAGTTTCTTCACCATCCTCCACTTTGTGTAATGCCGTCAAGCTCTCGGCAGAATAATGTCATCTTGCCTATTTCAGCCTGTAGAAACTGTTTTGAATTCCAGCTCTATTGTCTACAATTTTCTTCCATCTAAATTCAGGCCCAGCTTGCACTTACAACTTCAATTCTACCGCATTGGTCAGGACGGAGCGTGGTAACGCAACACTAGAGAAACTCGTGTACCGTGAGCTGAGTCAGAGCAACACTAACACAACAGTTCCCAGTTACCACATACCCATTGTGTGTGTACTGCACAAACACTGTGCTAAGTGCTTTGCTTTGAATGGACCATCTAGTTCACTTCTTCCAACACTAACTAGGGTTTTTTTGTTTTTGTTTTTGTTTTTATCACCTCCATCCTAGAGAGAAACTGGAAACTAAAAGAAAGTTTGATTTTATAAACCTGATGACAGATTTGGTTGTTATCAGTCAGGCACCTACAGCCCCTGATTATATGACTCCATTAGTCCCTGTAGACAGTCTCCTTTCTACCTCCTTATATCCGTACTACCAGGCCCAGAGCCCACATAACTTTGCTGAATCTCTGGAAACCTTACCAGCCCTATTAGCCTCAGAAGACTGGAGCATAAACCTGGGCCCCTTCTTCACAGCTACCATTTTCTCCTGAAAGAATTTCTCCCTAGTGGGTAGGCAGCTTCCCCTCCAATGGGAGGACTGTCCTTTCTGGGTCTAGCTCAAGCTCTCAGTTAAGGACTAATGAGAGTACGTTCTCCATGTTGCGCGGCACCTCTCTGCATCCATGCAAATCTGCTACTGTGTTCTCCCCCAGAGAACTTCCAGGTCCCCTGACCTTTCTAGAAGCGGAGAAGTAGAATATACAAATGTCCCAGAGGGGTTAAGAATATGGGCCAGTTGGTAGCGTGCTGGTCTAGCATGCATGAAGTCCCAAGTTTCATTCCCAGTAACTAGCATAGGGGTGCATGCCTGTTATCCTAGCACTTAGGAGACTGAGGCAGGAGGATTGTTCAAGACTAGCTAGCCAAGACAGGGATGGGGGACTGGAAGGTGGTGCACACCTTTAATCTCAGCACTCCGGAGGCAGAGGTAGGTGAATCTGAGTTCAAGCCCAGCCTGGTCTACAGAGCAAGTTCCAGGACAGCCAAAGCTACATAGAGAAACCCTGCCTTGAAAAAAAAAAGGGGGGGGGTAGGAAGCCATACAGGAAAACACCAGATGTGTTCATGGGTAAATGTACACTCTCCTCCCACATGCATGCATACACACGCAAGTGCATGCATACATACACATGCAGTGATACATTGGCTATGATTTAACAAAGCCACCGGGGATCGGAATGCACACTAGTTTGCCATAGAAGCTGGGCAGTGGTGGCACACACCTTTAATCCCAGGACTAGGAGACAGAAGCAGATGGATCTCTGTGAGTCCAAGACCACCCTGGGCCACCAGAGAGTGGATCAGTCTAAAAGAGAAACAGAGCTCATGCTTTTAATCTAAGCACTAGAGAGGTGTATAAGGAAGAAGCAAAGGTCTCATATGAGATTCAGTTTCCAGTCACAGGGAAGACAAGAGCTCCATTTCAGCCTTGGTAGAGGTAAGAGCTACTGGCTGCCTGCTTTGCTTTTCTGATCTTCAGGCAAGCTTTATTAAATCATATATCACCACACACACAAACACACACACACACATGCACACATGCACACAATACCTACCTCATTGGGTTGACATGAGTACATGAAGATTAAATGGAATGTTTAAAATAGTGAGCTTGACACACTACAAGCCAGTGATTCTCAACTTGTGGGTTGTGACCCCTTTGGGGGTCACATATCAGATATCCTGAATATCAGATATTTACATTACAATTTATAACAGTAGCAAGTTACATTTATGAAGTCACAACAAAGTAACTTTATTGTTGGGAGTTATCACAACATGAGGAACTGTATTAAAGGGTCTCAGCATTAGGAAGGTTGAGAACCACCACTGTAAGCACTTTATAAAGTGCTGTTTTTATTGTTATCATTATTTCCATACTGGGAAAAACCTCGCCAAGTAAGACTCTTTTTGCCAAGGAGATAAAATTTGCTTGTAACTAGCACTAGCTGTGCATCTTTCATCCCAGTACTGAGGAAACAGAGGCAGGCAGATCTCTGTGAGTTTGAGGCCAGCCTGGTCTACAGAGTGGGTTCCAGGACAGGCAGGGCTATAGAAAGACCTTGTGTCAACAAGAAAAAAAAATTGTTGTAAATGGTTAGGGGCTAGAGCACATCTAATGACTCGGGATGGTATTTCTGGCCCAGCCGGACACTGCCTGGACAGGTTACCGAAGGAACTACTTGGAAGTTGGTACTCGCAAATTATTGTTGAGGAAAACTGTTGTTGAATGTATTGCTGCCAGCTGGAATATTTGCAATCT